GGAGAGGGGATGAGCGGCAAGGGTCTGTGAAGATGAGGATGGACGTGGGAGAGGATGCGAGCACCCCGCACATCCTCCTTTCTCTGTTTTTAGTGTCTCTCCTACGACTGTCAGACGGGGAACTAAATATGGCCAGGGAAATCTCAAAACAGTTAAGAGTATTTTTAAACTCTTGCAGCCGCCTGTTTGCAGACTCGGTGACGTAGATAAACTGGTTGCAGAATTTCTCATGGGAATCCGGGGCGCTGCGACATGGCTGCTGGCTTGGGTTTGCATGTGCCTTTGGCCTCGTTAATGTGTCCCTCGGGGTTTCGTTTCACATCTTAAAGACTTGGGAAGCAGCAAAATCTGAGCGTGCCAAGAGAATGTACCAGGGGGCTATCAGAACTGTCACTCAAGCGTGGCCACGGAGGACCTGAGGAAGCTCGCAGCCTGGAGCCCTGGCTAAGGCGTGAACATGGGAGAATGTTCCCTAACTATACTAGTATTCTAGGCACTTTATTCCTCATAGAAGTCATCGTTGCCGCTGTCCTTTATCTACCCCTTGTTCACACACGTTATCCAGCTGTTTTATAAATGTGGGTGTCCCCCCCACCCCCCCAGCATTTGTGTTTCCAGCGACTGTGTGGAAATGTCTCGGGATAGGAAATACTTTACTTTGTTTGAGAAATGTTGATAGTCAAGCTTTTGCTTCGGGAAAGGGAAATTATGTTTGGAAATCGAATGAAGCTTAGGGGAGCAAGTTTTATATTGACTGGTGGGCAAATTACAGTTGGAGCAATGGATGCAGACAAAGCCGTCACCGAGTGCTGTTTCTCACAGGACTCCGGGGGCAGCTAGGAACCTGTGTCTTGGGTCACAGAATTCTTGGCGTCACTTGGGTCACAGAATTCTTGGCGTCACCAGTCACGCTATACAGCTGATTTCAGTGGTTGGGCTGTTTCCTTGTTGTTTAATGTTACTGAAATTTTTTTTTGTTTTGTTTTGTTTTGTTTCTTTCCCAAGGAGACTATGTGCTTTACCTGGAGAAACTCACTTAGATGGTAGGGACTTAAAAGTTTTCAACTTGTTTTTTTCCTATTGCAATTTACATAGTATAGCCAACACTATTTTCACAGGGCTCGCTGCTTTTATGCTATTTGCTTTGCCATTGCTGTTTTTTGGGGCTGCCAACAAAACTGTATTTATTGTAAACCCAGCAGAGGGGCCCCTCCAGCAGCTGCATGCCCTCAGGCTCTGGTTCCTTCTCTGGTCTCTAGAGAAATGAACACAGTATGGTCAGTGCCAGAGGGAGACAGATTTCTGTGTGATGTGGGGAGGGGAACGGCGAATTGAAACTTAGATTATCCCTCTTGAAGCTCCCTGTGGAGCTTAGGTGTATGAAGAGATGTTCTCCCCTTCCCCAAGGATTTTCAGTTGCATTTCCAGTCTGTGGACCTGATGCCCTCCCCTATACATAATAAAAATTTTTCAGCATGGGCTGTTTCTCAGAAGAGGTCCATTTGTTTATCCCAGTTATCACACAGGAGGGAAAGAGTCCCATGAGGTAAGGTCAGCAGTGGGGGATGAAGCATGTTCCAGTTTGGGCAAGAGGAGTTCCCCACTGCCAGGACCTCTGCTCACTCAGAGGAAGCCGGGGTTTTGACACAGAAAACGATTTTGGCCGAGGTCACTGTGGAATAGAGCTAAGACTTGCTAAGAGAGAGATAGTAAACACCTCAGACTTAAGTGAGTGTTGTAACAACAGCCGGAGTATGACTTGGTGGCTTTTGAAGTCATAGTGTCCCATAGTAATGTATATCCAGATTTAAAGAGTGTGTAAAGTTTAAAAATGAAGTTAAAAGTGAGTGAGTTTACTTACTGTTTTTCTTATAAAATTTTCCTGTTGTAACTAAAATTGCGAGGTGGTTTCTGAGGTTCACTGTTCTGGTTTAGGGTGAAAGGGGAGTGTTAATATGGTTAAACTTAAAATTTTACTCTTACTCGATATATCCCTCAGAAGGAAAAAAAAAAAAAGCCTTGTTTCTCTGCTAGCAATGTCATAGCTGTTTTGGTTTATTCTGTTTTGTTGAAGCTCTTGACTCTCCGCCAGCACAAAATGTAAACCAGTTCCCAGGAAGAGGAGCTCCTTTCTCTTCCCATGTCCCCTTGACTCCCTGTATTCTGTCTGGCCTCAGAAAGAGCTTTCCCTGATCATACAGCTGGTGAGAATCTATGGTTGGGCCTTCCTTCTACAGTACATCTATAGAGCAGTTCTCTTACCCACTCCTGATGTGAGAATATTGTAAAAATCACATGGAGCAAAATTTAAAATACTTCCTGTGCTTATTTAAAATTAGTATTCAGCTCTGGGACACACTCGTCAGTGGAGTGCTTGCCTGACATGCCTAGATCTCGTTTGATCTCCAGCACTGTAAATTCACCACACATGAATATATTCATTTGATTAAATTAATGTAACTGTTTAGTCATTAGCGTTGTGCTAATGATGGTTGTATAACCCTAACTGGTGAGTGTGTGAATAGATTATCCAAACACAAAGCAAAAGTGAACACTTTAGTAAATGTTTAATTAAAAAGTAATTAAGAGCCAGGGAATTGAAGGTGCTTGCTACCAAGCCTGAAGACCTGAATTTGACCTCTGAGATCCACACAGTGAAGGGAGAGAACCAAACTGTCCTCTGATCTACACACACACACACACACACACACACACACACACACACACGCGCGTGCTCTTTGGCATGTATATACCCCCCGAAAATAAATAAAAATATTAAACAGAAACTATCTGAGGCCCTGGGAAGGTGACTCGGAGTTGGTGAGTGCTAGCCAGGCAATATGAGGGCCTGAATTTGAACTTCAGCGTGAAAACTGAGCGGGGCAGGTGTGTAATCCCAGCACTAGGCAGGAGGCAGAAGCCAGAGAAGCTCTGGCGCTTGCTGCTGGCCAATGTAGCTGCATCAGTAAGCTCCAGGCTCAAAAGAGCAGAACAGATAGCACCCGAGGAAGACACCTACCTTGGCACCTTTCCTTCACATACAATAGCACACGGGATACATATACACACATACAAGCACACAAAACTACCTACTACTTTATACATTGGAATACATTGTCTTTGTCTCTGGTGCTGGAGACCCAGTGATCAGCCATTGCATCTTAGAAAGAGAGAATAAAAGGAAAGACAAGACAGGCTCTATAAATGGACATTTTTAAAGATGTTAGACACCCAGCTGAGTTTCTTTATGTTTGATTTCTTACCATCTCATTTTCTTCAGAAACATGCCGGAGCACAGGGGTAGTACAAGAACCACTAGGGCATATTTCAAATTAAATTATCTTCATTCCTTTTGATTTGAATGCACCATGAGAAAAATGAGCTCCAAAGTGCCCCTCCTGGCTTTACCCTGACAAAGAGCATTCTTGTTTCCCTGCAGCCAAGAGGACTGTGAGAAAGGGCAAGGCGCCCGCTCTCTTTTCAGGAGGGGTGCTTCACTACAGCCATGGCCTTTCTCAGGGTTGTCAGTTTGCGAGGGAATCCTATGGGTCAAGCTAATAGTTAAATCAATTGCGTGCCTATATGGGAAAAAACTGTGCCTTATCAAACTTTGCAGTGTGAAGACATGAGTCTGGACTCCTTCACAAGCATCAGGTATTCGAATTATTTCAAAACATCAGTTAAGATTATGGCTGCGAAATACTTCGAATGCTGCGAAAGATAAATCAATCGCAGGCTTTTCTAAGAGATTAAAATATTCATTACCCACTCAGACTTGTGCTTCCCTAGGAGGGTGTGCCTGTTAGATCTCTGATCTTCCTCCCCATGCTACTTTCAGCTACTGTAATCAGAGCTAACCTGCTGGTAACATGATCCTGTGGTGTTGAAATGTCTGGTTTGGGGACCGAATTCTGTTTGCTCCTAGAATTATCAGTTTGCAAAAATTCCAATTTATGATTCATTTTTAGAAGCCTGAACTGATTAACCCAATCACTTTTAAGGAGACTTAAACAGATAGTTTTCACTCTCAGAAACGGGGAGGGGGGGGAGCTCCTGAATATCAGCCATACATCTTTATCCCATAAATTCTCAAATTTTTAACCACAAAAGCCTGTTACTCAGGACAAAGCCAGCCAGCCCTGGGTGTGAAACATGCTATCAATCATCTTGCTTTTGTGATGCTCTCTAACTTAGACATCTAACCTGATTTCATCTCTGTGATATAAGTGAATGTGAAAACCAAAGGGTCACCTTTCCAGCACTCTGTTGATCCAAACTATGTTAAGTGTATCCATGTTAAGGTGTGTGTAAGTTAGGATGAAGTTCAGCTGAGAGAGAGAGAGAGAGAGAGAGAGAGAGAGAGAGAGAGAGAGAGAGAGAGAGAGAGAGAGAATGAGAATCGAAAGTGAGTTAAACAGCTCCAGGGTCCATTGCTTCACATTTTAAGAAGATGGAGAGACTTGGTGTAGGCTGGTATGGTAACCCTGATCCTTCATCTGCTTCATTCTCCTATAACATAATACTACAGAGCTGGTTATTTATAAGAAACAGAAGTTTGTAAGCTCTCATTATGGAAGTCAAGGAGTCTGGACTGAGGAGCTGGCATCTGGCCAGGGTCTTCTGGGGTTGCACTATCCTAATCAAAAGGTCAAAGAGAGGCTGAAATAGCAAGGGGGCTAGACTCACTTTTTAACTGGGTACCCATTCTCCTGATAATGAATTCTCATCTTTCGTAATAGCACGAATCCATTTATGAGAACAGAACCTTCATGACCAATACCCTCTTCTTAACATGTTAGGACGACAAGTAAATGTCAGTGTTAATTTGGAAGGGCCCAAGTATTCTAGCTACAGAACCCTACAAAGACCCACCTTTCTCACTGTCTTGTTGTCTGTTCTCATAGTCACGGGGGTGATGTCATAGTCATGGAGGGGTGATGTCATAGTCACGAGGGATGTTTACTTAACAGTAGAGGGTCCACATGGGAGAAGGATTCCTACCAGCCCAAAAAGTATTCTGTAGGTGCACATGATATTTCCTCTTCATTTAATTGCTCTGAGCATCATTGCATTGTCACACAAGTGAGACTTGGAAATGCAGTTTTCTAACTAATTTCAAGTTCTGTCGCAAGGGGAAGGAGGAAATGGTTTTGCCAATAGGGACAATGCATACTTCCTGCCACAGGTAATACTGAAATCCAGGATTGCAGAAGAAAATTTCCCTTCACTGATCATTCACCTCTCCAATATTTATTAATTAAAAACTTTGTCTTAGGCACTGAATATTGAGACTACAATGATTGATTTGGCGCCCTATTATATTGAATGGAGAAAATCATCCTGTTCATGCCTATGGATGATTATGTAATAGAAGCACACACAGATTTTCTAGCTAGTCTAAATTGCCACTCAGACAGGATAGGGATAAAGAAGACTTCCAGGACACAGAGCAAAAAGCTTTGGGAAAGGTGGCTCCCTGAACATGTTAGAGGTCAAATAATGTAAATATGGAAAGCATGCTCATTGGGCTTTATTAATAAAGGAACTCTATGGTGGGCTCTTGAGATGCCGTTACTGGAGAATAGAGTCCAGCAGGGTAGAATATTAATGGTTAATAATGAATCAGAGAGGGGAAATACAGGCCACTTTAAGAAAAAACTACACAGGGTAAAGAGAAGGGGAATGACAGCCAATGACATCGAGGACGAGGGGAGGCTTCTTTTAGGGTTACAAAAAAATATATTTCAACACTTCCCCCAAAAGAGGAGGTGGAGGGTTGTTCTCTGAAATGCCAGGAGAGAAAGTAAAACCTAATGCCTAGTCAAATGGTCATAAGAAAGTGGCCATAAAACAGAACTGTGTCTAGCGGTGGTTTCTTTATTTTCTACTAAGCAGAAGTCAGTTTTGAGAAACAGGATAGGAGCCACGAAAAACAACTAGGCATGTTAAAAATAACTATTCGTGCCTACAGAGGCGGAAAGAGGAGAAAGAGGATGAGTGGGCATAATGTGAACTCCTTTCTCCTGTCACCACCACTCAGGTCCCCACCACTGTGACAACTGCTGCTGTTTATTCCTCGTGTATTTTTTTTTCCCAGAGGTGTGTACCTGAAAGTTTTCCTGTGTCTCGCCCATTCCATAGCCACTCAGACCCAAGTAAACACACAGAGGATTGTATTAATTAAAACTGCTCGGCCATTAGCTCAGGCTTACTACTGACTAGCTCTTACACTTAAACTCAGTCCATTTCTGTATGTCGCCATGGAAAACATGGCTTTATCTGTGTATCATTACATGCTGCTCCCTGGAAGGCAGGCTGGCATCTTCTGACTCAGCCTTCCTCTTCCCAGAATTCTCCTTATCTGCTTATACTGCCTATACTTCCTGCCTGGCTACTGGCCAATCAGCGTTTTATTTATCGACCAATCAGAGCAACACTTTCACAGCATACAGAGCATCCCACAACAGAGGTGCTCTGTACTAACAGAAGAAAATGCGTATATTTATCTCTGTATTAGTTGGAGTTCATTAGAGAATAGAACTGATATAATGAATATGTGTGCATGTAAAAATGAGATTTATTAGTGTGGCTTAGATGTTATGGCCTGAATATTCCAACAATGGCTGTCTGCCAATGGAAGTCCAAGAATCCAATAGTCATTCAGTCCACGAGTCTGGATGGCTCAGCTAGTCTTCAGTATATGCTGGAATTCCAAAGAAGTAGGCTCTGATATCAGTGAAGGAATGAACTTACCAGCAAGAGTGAGGGTAAGCAGGCAAAGAGCAAAAACTTTCTTCTTCCATGTCCTTTATATAGGTTGTCAAATGATTCAACCAAAAAAAAAAATTCCTCACAAATGTAACCAGCCATTTGGATTTGAGTTAACTCTATACGTAGTCAAGCTAACAACCATTAATATCACAGTATCTCCATCATTTTTTTTCATAGTGACCAGTTCATCTTGCTTTGGATAATATAAATATACATGGGTATGCCACTACTTTCTGAGTTGAGGCACCACCACTAACTCCTCCTTGTGAACTTAGAAACAAGGTAGCCACATGTCATAAATATGCAAGGCCCATAGTAGAAAAGAGATTCGTCTACTATGTTCCTATCACACATCTGGTATTGAACAGCAGGTGTATTTTTAACTTCAAGGACACAGATGCTGTTTGCACTTCATTTCTCAATGGTTTATTAGCAGCAGGATGGGCTTGTGCTGATCTCTGGTTTGCACTGTGTGTCGCAGGCAGGAGCATCTTGGCAGTGATCTGCAAGACTCACCCTCCCAGGAAGCAGAGCACCCACACAGCCCTGGGCTCGTCTCTGTGACAAGATGTATGAGTGTGTGGGGTGAGTCTGGCCTTTTCCCAGCTGTGTCCATTCTGTGTTAGGGAACACGGGTGTTCTGAGAATGATTTCAGAATGAAGGGCTGTCTGTCATCTCTGAAGATGGGTTATCAAATGAATAAATGGCTCCTGGGTCTGTGGGGTGGCCCATGGTGTCGGGTCGCTGTTCCAACAACTAATTCTCCTGTCCTCTCTTGCCAGTGCTGGACAAGATAAATACCAGGAGCAGGTGAGAGAAGAAGTGGGAACAGAGGGGGCTGCTTGATGAACTGGAGAATGTGAGAGGACCACTCAGTCCCCACAGTACGAACCGAATGGCTTCCTTCTCTGGGGCTAAAGACAGGTCATGAGGGATAAAATTACCAACCCAGGAAAAAGAAGATGTTTATAGCTTCTGCTACTTTCACAAAAATAGATGAAAGGAAAGGTTGTTTTCCTACCCTCCACAGCCTGTGAACTTCCTTAGCTCGGCACATGACTTGTTCATTATTCCCCAAATAGGAGAGTCTAGTGGTGTGCTCTGTGGTGTTGTCGAGTGCACTGGGTTATACACAGCGATTCCTGGGTTGAGTCCTCCAGCTTCAGAGCTGCGTCCTGGAAGCCACTTTATCATCCCTCCCTTTTCCCCTTTCTTATTCATCCTCTTCTCCTTTCCCTCCCTCCCTTCCAGCTCTGTTATGATGTGTATGAAATGAATTCAGTTTTCTTACACGGACACTGCAATCGTCTCCAAGTTTACAGAGTTCCAAGCATCTCTGTAACAGGATGGAGAGTGCTTTGGGCAGATGCCCAGGAAATGATCCACTTCTTTCACATTTTCTAGTTTGGTGGAGTACAAGAAGTTTTTAAAGTGTGTTCTTACCAATTTCTCGGGATACTCTGGATATTCGGTGTCTGTTGTTATGTCCACCTTTGCCTTTAACTTGATTAATTTGGATCTTCTCGGGTTGTCTTTTGGTTAATTTAGCTAAGGGTTTGCCAATCTTACCGGTTTTCTCAAAGAACTAACTATATTTTATTGATTCTCTGGATTTTTTTCTATTTTGTTGAATTTAGCCATAAGTTTGATTATTGTGGCGATATTTTATTTGTATGTTAATAAATAAAGTTTGCCAGGAGATCAGAGGTCATAGCCAGCCATAAAGGAAAGTCAGGTGGTGGTAGCCCATGTCCTTAATCTGGTCACATGGTGGGCAGAGTCTTGGTGTGTTCAAGGAAACACTAGGGAACAGCCAAGCATGTTGTTGTTAAAATACACACTTTTAATCCTAGTACCAACCATAGAGATCTGGAGGTCTGTACATACAGGCAGTAATGAGGAAGTGAGGTGGCTGGGTTAAGAGTCAATGAGAAGGCAGAACAGCAAGGCAATAAAGGTGCAGGTTAGAGAGGAAGTAGCTGGTTCTCTTGGGAAGCTACAGCGGCGTGGGGAACTAAGGTTAGTTGGTGGCCCTCACTATTTCTCTGATCTCTACGGCTTTCACCCCTGGATCTGGCATTGTATTTCTTATTTAATAAGACTGTTCAGAAATTCATCTACAGATTGTTTTTGCCATTTACTTCTTTTGCGTGTGATAATCTTTTTGTTCTAGAGCTTTCAGGTGTGCTGTTAAGTTCCTAACAGAAGCTCTCTCCATTTTTTTTTAAAGTAGACACTTCATGCTCCGAACTGGCCACTTAGAACCACCTTCATGGTGTCTCATAAGTTTGGGCATGTTGTGTTGTCAGTTCATTCAATTCTAAGAAGTTTTGAATTTCTTTCCTAATTTCTGTCTTGACCCATTTTGAATTCACTACTGAGTTATTCAGATCCCATGAGTTTGTAAGCTCTCTGTTGTTGTTATTGAAATCCTCTTCAAGCCATGGTGATCAGATAGCACGCAGGGTGTTATTTCAAATTTCTTGTGTCTGTTGAGACTTGCTCTGTGTCCAAGTATGTGGTCAGTTTTGGAGGAAGTTCCATGAGCTTCTGAGAAGAAGGTGTATTCTTTTGTTTTGGGCTGAAATATTCTATAAATATCTGCTAGGTCCATGTGTTTTATGATGCCATTAAGCTCTAGCATTTTTCTTTGTAGTTTTTCTCTCGATGACCTGTCTATTGGCAAGAGTGGGGTGATGACATCATCTTCTATCACTCTATGAGGGCCAATATGTGATTGTAGCTATAATATTGTTTTGCTTTAAAAACAATGAACTTTGGTGCTGTTGTATTTGATACACACATGTATAGAATTGAAATGCACCCTTGGTGGATTTTTCCATTGATGAGGATGTAGTGTCCTTTTCAATATCTTGTGATTAGTTTTGGTTTGAAGTCTATTTTGACGGATACTGAAATCGCCACACCAACTACTGCATTTCTTAGGGCCAATGGTAGTAGGGTTGCTGGGCGTTGGTGGAGACATCGTCCTGATTGTCATTGATTGTATTTTTGCACTGGTGTCAGGCACCTGAGTTTAGGATGATTGTCTTCTAGCTGTTGATACCCTGTCCTTGTCCTTGTTGAGTAAGTGTTCCCTATCATGGTTTCTGCTGACCTCACTGGATTCTAGGAGCATGATGTGGCTGTGGGTTGCCTTGTGGGGAATGCTTCTGAGCCTTTGCCAGAAGTGGCCACTTGTGGCCTCAGGGAGAACATGATTCTAGGTATTGAGAGCTGACAGGAAGGAATGGGATTAGTCGGAGGAAGTTGAGAAGGTCCATAGGACAGAGGAAGGCGAGTCCTTCCATGAAGATCTGTGGGGTCCCCAGGGACTGGAAGAAGAGAGGAAAGACAGTCCCCTGAATTTGGTCTGCTGCAGGGCCGGGGATGAGACTGGGGAATTGTAGGTGATAAACAGGAAGGAGAGTAGGGATAATCTATCTGGTTCCTAAGCCAGCCTGGCTAGCAGGTTTCCAGGTAGAGAGTTCTTCTGTGTGTCAGTGGCTCAGCCAAAGGCATGGGGTGGGGGAGGAAGGCTGTAGGGAAGATCTGCAGAGTTCCCTGGGAATGGAGTCAGAGAGGGAGGAGAGGCCCCAGCAAGTGCTCTGCTCCAGGGCTGGAGATGAGTCTGGGGAGTTAGAATTGGAGGACAAGAACGGGACCAAAGTCAGCCTCCTTGACTGCATGGCCCGTGGGTTTCCATGGAAAGAGTGCCTTCAGGCGTAAGTGACTGAGATATAGTGATGGGTGAGGGGAACATTTCTTTTCATTCCTCTTGGGTACATATATGGGGGTATATTTGTTGACTCATGGATACTTAAAAATTTTTATTTAGCACTTAAGAAGCTACCAAATGTTTTCCAAATGTGTTGCCCAATTTTATATTATTAACACCAATGGCAGAATTCTAGTTTATGCACATGCTTGCCAGAGCATGCTGTTTTGTGTCGCATGAAAAACAGCCAGTTTTGTGAGTGTGAAGCCTTCTTCTTGGAGTCAGACTAAAGAAATAAAGGTTTTGTTGTTTTTTTTTTTTTTTTTTTTCCTTCATTGTCAAGGTATCGGTACAGTCTAGGGATCATCAATTGCTGATTCTGTCTCTAGCGTTCTGGATTTCCCTGTTGCCGTAGAGATTTTTTTCCTGCCTTGGAATTATTTAACTGGCAGAGAAAGTGAACCCAACCAAGACCCCGAGACTGTATGAAGAAGACATTCTGAAGTAAAAAGACCAAACAAAATGAGGAAGAAGTAATAACTAAAATTAAGGTGTAGTGATAGTTTTATTCATTTATTATTTTAAAATTACATTTTGGTTTTGATTTTTGGTTTTTTTCAAGACAAAGTTTCCCTCTGTAACTGCCCTGGCTGTCCTGGAACTCACTTTGCAGACCAGGTTGGCCTCAAACTTACAGAGATCCTCTTGCCTCTGCTTCCTGAGTGCTAGGATCTAAAAATATCAATACTATGTATTGTGTGTATGTGTGTGTATGTGTGTGTATATGTGTGTGTGTGTGTGTGTGTGTGTGTGTGTGTGTGTGTGTGTGTGCACATGGCACAGTGCAGGTGGAGGCCAGACAATGCTTTTGAGAGCAGGTTCCCATTTGAATACCAGACATAGCAGCATGTATGTGTTGGATGTTTGATACAGGCAGATCCTGGATACTGTCTGACCAGTCAGTCTACCTGAAGTGACAAGTTCCAGGTTCAGTGACAGAACTTATTAAAAAGAAAGAAGAGGAAGAAGAGAAGGAGGAAGAAGAAGGAGGAGGAGGGGGAGGAGGAGGAGGAGGAAGAAAGAAAGAGAGAAAGAAAGAGAGAAAGAAAGAAAGGAAGGAAGGAAGGAAGGAAGGAAGAAGAAAAAAGAAAGAAAGAAAGAAAGAAAGAAAGAAAGAAAGAAAGAAAGAAAGAAAGAAAGAAAGAAAGAAAGCAAGCTAGACATTAAACCCTGGCACCCACGACTTAGCATACCCCCCTACATCCCCTACATACACAAATCGAAGACACAAGCATGATACATAGAATCAAGCAAACAATTATTGGAGATATAGCTCAGCATTAAGCACACTGGCTGCTCCTGTAGAGGACCCAGGTTTGATTCCCAGCACCTACATGGTGGCTCACAACCATTTGTAACTCCAGTTCCAAGGGACCGGACACATGCTTCTTGCCTCCATGGACATCGAGCACATATGTGGTATACATACATATACATACATACAGGCAAAACACTCATACTCAGAAGATAAAATAATAAAAATAATAATAAAAAACAAAAAACAAAGTGAAGAATCAATGAAATAGAGAAGCTAATTCAGTGAAAACAAACAAACAAGATTGACAGTTGACAAATCATTAAGCAAAATGAATGAAAGAATAAGAGAAGGCCCAAATCAATAAAATTAGAAATGAAAATGATGATATCAAAGTACATGCCAACATATCCTGAGGTAGTCCTTAGGGAGATTGTTTTGAAAACTTTAGCGTTCCCCAAACCTGGAAAATCTAAAAGAAATGGATAAACTCATATGTACATATGAACTATCAGAACTAAATAAAAAGAATATAAACAATTTAAACCTAAAACAAGCCGTGAAACTGAAGCAGAAATAAAGTATCTCCCACCAACTATAATCCAGGCCAGATAGAGTCACTGTTGGTCTCTACCAAACCTTTAGAGAAAAGCCAAGGCCAACACTCCCGATGTTCCACAGAACAGCAAGAGAAAGAACATGACCAACCAAACTGGACTCTTTCCATGAGGCAGGAGTTACTTTGCCACCCAAACCAAATAACACAACAAAAATGACAACTACAGTCCAATTTCTCTGCTGAAAATAGATGTAAAACCAAACCAAACCAAACAACCCCCCCAAAAAAACAACAATAACAAAACACCCAGCAAAACACCTGTAAACCAAATTTAAGAACTCACTAAGAAAAACATACAATGTGGTCACTGCTAGGCCTATCCTCTTTTATAAGGAAGCCTAATAAAACTCATTGGGTTTCTCTCTCTCTCCTCCC